TCTCCAAATGAAGCTTAATATTGTACAATCAATATATTAAACCAAATTAGTTGTAAGGGAGATATAACGTAACAAAGTTAGAGAGTTGTGGGGACAATTTGACTGATTTGGTTTAAAACGGGTACAAACTGGGCTTGTCAAGTAAATAATAACAAAAAAAACGTTATAATAATTACGGCCTTGTCCACAAAAAGGTTATAATAATCAAACTTTTTTAACTTTAGAGTAACCCTAAGATGTCAGAGAAGAACAGAGAAGTTATAAGTCACACATATATGCTCCACATGATAGACTCCTGTCAAGGAAAGCACCCAGTCTCTTAACATTGGGAGATAAAAAATGTTGAAATCAATAGAGAAGTTGTTTCTGGATTGGTTACCAAAGAGAAAGACCTTTGTTGAGGTTGAGAGCGTTAAGAGTCAGGATCCTCACAGATATGAACAACTGGACATCATCCACATAACACTGGAAATAAAAGTTGTAGTCTACCCAAAACATTGGAGAGAAAGGGCATAGATAATTAACAGAAAAGCTCCAAACATCAAACTTTAAGATATACCAGAGCAGAGGGGGTGAGGCAGTTGGGGCGGGTGGATGTGATGTGAGAATTATAATGTTTAAATTACATTAACAGCAGATATTTTTTCAGGCACTCCATGGTGGTAGCTTTTTACAGATCCATTGGAGAGAAGCTGCACATGAAAGGTCGTTCCACTGTGACTGTGCATAAACATGTGCACAGTCTTCCTTACCCCACTTGGGGTCTCCACCTCCATTATCAGGCTGATCTTTTATCCAGAACCTGGAATATTTGAATGAAATTGAGTCATTGCACAGTGTATCCAACATCTAACTAATCATTACGTAACAAGCAGTCATGACCAAAACCTAATTAGGATTTTTTTTATTTGCCCATAATTGTCAGTTTATAATAGAACGGTATAAAGTAAAACACAAAGGTGAAAACAAAGGCTCTAGGTTAGTATATCCTAAGCACATTAAAGAATAACCAAACCTGATGTAAAGGTGACAGATTTACAAAAAAGTGTCCACAAACCATGACAGAAAGAATATTTTAGTACCAAGGTTGATGTTTATAAAGGAATTGTAGGGGATATGGGAATTAACCTTTGGCTAATTTTCACTGTTTGACTGCTCATCTTTACAGCTACTCTGTATTAGCTGTTAATAACATCCTGGTGAATGATAAGACTTTTGATAGATATATATTTTTTTGTTTAAAGCATGATTGCTATACTTGTTTCTAAACTGAACTAATACCAAAAACATTTCCATCAGTTTCCAAGAAGTAACTTTACACAGTAACACCCTAAAATAATTTTTGTGTCACTGCTGTGTGTAAAATCAAGAAGTTAACACTTACGAAAGATTCATAGAGGTTCCATCCACCCACTTCCAAGAACCTTCGGTTTCTTTGTCATTCAAACCAATCCAAGTTTTTTCCTTTGCAAATCTGGAAATAAAGTCCTGTTAAATATAAACATACAAAGTTATTTTAGCTGGTAGTAGAACTTGGTTGTACCATGTTCATATACATGAACAGTGAAAAATTGCAGATCTATCTATTTCCTACGACTTCTTTTGAAAACCTCAGCTCAAGGTGACACAGACAGTTGCCAAAGCAAAAGGAGGGTGCAATGAGGAAGGGTAGTCCTAGCAAAACATTAATCAATATGTCCTGGGACCTAAGGATCCTGCAGCCAAATTGAAACCATAAATATGTAACTGTTAAAGAAAAATGATTATTTTTAGTCTTTAATACAGTTAATCTTATGGCATGTGAGAAAAAGGAATTGTATCTCATGTTCTGTTGATTCTATGTGTTATTTTTGGTTTAAGGCAGGATTCAATCTTTTGGGGTGAAATGGTG